TCCCATGCAAATTTGTATTACTTGTTCCCTGGGAACTATACTTCAGCCAAGATAGCCCCTTTAATGCAGAATTTTAGCACTGCATATTCGGATGACTCAACAGAAAAGCCCATATTGCTCAATCCTGCCCTGCAATCTTCCACCCACTCATAAATACAGCATGTTCCCATCTGTGCATTGCTCTCATTGTGATCTTGCTAATTTTTTCTGTTCTTTTTTGGTGTGGGTACAACTTAGTGCAGGTGTCCAGGTTGGGGTAATGAAGATCCAGGTAACACATTGCAAAGTCTGCATGAGCAGAAAAAAGAAAATACAATATTTTAGTTACAACAAGGTTAAGGGAAGCATTCATCTGATGTGCTGGACCTGGAAACATATTTTTGTCTCACACAACATTATTTCTCTTGGAAAACCAATGCGTTACAAAAGGTTTTCAATGGACTTGGGGGTGGGGGGTAAAGGGTCCTCTGCAGTTTCTTAATGCTTGAAATCCATTTCTGAGTACTTACATCCCTAATTAAAGGTCACCTACTGGTTCGAGAACAACTGTTAATGAAGAGCTTAATTATCCAGATGACAGCTATAAAATCCTACTCCTGTGCCTGAATATTTTAAAGCAACAAGGCCCAGATTTTCAAATGCGTGCTTGCAACCAAGTACTTAGACCAAAAACTCACTCTGAAGAAGAGTGTGTGCATGCAGTTTGCATTTACATACACAGTGGGAGATTACACATGCCCATATTAAAGAGGCAACCCTGTGAGGATGTTTGTATGTGCTTACTTGACCATTTGAACCAGGCCCACCTTTCTTTTCTGTTCTTTCATTCGGGGAGGGGGAGGGATGGTTAAATTATTCCTCGAGGATAAATAATTTCACATTATTAACTCTTCTTAACAACAAAGCTGCATAAATTAAATGTAAGATTATCTGCTGTGCCCTCAGTGGAATGATTAGGAGGGAATCTACAGGAAAGAAATGTGGTCAAATGATTTGAAGACTTGCTAAATGGGATGCAAAGCCTCATCTTGCATTCTTAACAAGCTCAAACGTAGACCTGCCTTCTAATGAGCAAACCCTGCTCGGCATATCTGTGCGACCCCCAGAGCAGCGTTGCAAAGAAAATGGCTCATGGTTCATTTTCTCTATTGAGTCAGGTTTTTGCTTTTATTCATGCTTTTGACCAGCTGCTCCCATTGCTGTGGCAATTTTCCTGAGGTGGCCTTTAGTCCACCGAGCCGAAGTGGCCCCATTTCCCACTTCCCGTCACAGCACCAGATACGTGTTTCTTGGGGAGGTCAGGGACGGGTTCCCCACAAGGTACATGCTTCTAGCAAGCAGATGAAGTTTATCATGTCCTGAAAAGCAACGAATTCACTGCCGGCACAGTCTTTTTATGTCACTCTGATGATGGCATCATAAGGGCAAAGACAGCTATAACTTTTTAACTGGGCATTTTCTGGGGCTTGGTGGAGACTGAAATGTAAGGGCCATATAGGGGTATGGAGGAAAACCAGAAGGTATTACAATGTTGTTAACTGCCAGATGGTCTTTGGAGTGAGCTAGCAACAGGCTCCAACTTAGAACAACTCCAAGATTTTTCCTGTGAGTCAGAGCTAGGCTTTGACTCGGGTTCCTTGTTACCTGTGGCCTGTGTCTCCTACACATACTTGCACACGTGTGCACACACAGACACACTTATTTATCTGAACAGAAAACTCAACAAAACAGAGCTCCAAGCCCTGGCTATAAAAAAGTGGGAAAGAAAATCCGAGTGCATCACATAAGAAGAGCCATTTATATATATTAAAAAAGGAGTAAAACTCCTGTCAAAGTTCTGTCAATGGTTTATATCTTATTCATAAGAATTGCGCATTATAGAAGAGATTGGTTAAAACAAAGATGGGTCAGTGCTGCTAACTTACCTGTTTAAGAGGTTTCAAACATACCTTTCTGTGCTTTGTTAACTCTCCAGAAGGCTACAGAAGGGTTTTCTTTGCGGAGTCTCATCAGCTAAGTTTCATTCGTAGGTCACAATGACCTGACTGTGGAGGCTGTGCCACATAAATGGAGCTCTCCAGATAAGTAGTTACGTTTATTGCATACTTTGTCAGCATATCTCTGTCCATACACTTGTTCTCAAGGCACTTTGTTTTGATATTGGTTTTATTAAAATAGATTTCAGAAAGAGAAATGTAAAATAGTTTAAAGATTACACACATAAACATGTTGTTCAGTGCTGAGAAAATCCACACCAAACACCAGCAGGCTTTTTTGTTACATTACAAGCATGAATAAAATGTATCTTGCATTTTTTTTCTTCTATGGCTTTCTTCAAAGAAAAAAACACTGCTTTAAAAAATGGCTATAAAAGGACAAATGTCGCACAGAGGAAAAGGTACAGGTCCTACAATTCTCCTCACAATTTGGAAGATGCTTAAAATTAAAATCCAAAGAATACTGAAAGGCAAGGAGATCTAATGACTATAAGAAGGAGTTTTTTTGTCTTGGCAACCACACGGTCAGCCTCCCAGCTTTGGAGCTGCTGCCACAGCCTGAGCTGCCCCCGGAGCTCCTGCACAGCATGCGTGGGCGGGATGGCTTGTGCCTCAAGTATTTCTGTGCTGTCTTCCTGCTAGGGATGAGGCAAGGTGTCCGGTTATGCAGGCTCTACTTGCTCTTCAAGTGTCATTCATCCCTTGTCTCCTCTGGAGGAGGAGCCATGGGCTAGATGGCTTCATCCCTTGGGCTCTGGTCTGACTCTGGCTACAAGGCACAACCCTGCAAAGTCTTTCTTCAGGGGTGTTTGTTTGTAAAACATATTTAACTGAGTCCCTATTCTGCAAATGTGCGGGCAATGGTTTCACATGAAGTGGATGAGCTGCACCAAGCTCACGTGCCTGATGTAGCTGTGAGAGGATTTACAAGACTGACTTCTAGACTATGCCTGTGCTTTCCTGCACTGCCAGCTCTCATCCTATTGCCTTTGCAAATGGTCAGGGCCCAGGCAAAAAAGTGTGATGTGCTATGAGAATTTGCCCTATTTATCAACAAAAATAGGCTAGCATTTGCCAAGGAACACACCTCATTTTTGGCCTAAGAATAGATTCAGGAGCCTTTCTTCAATGCAACTAGAATATTCATCATTTTGGAACATCTTCATTCAGACACTTCCATCGGGATGGATTTTAACGGCTGCACACCAGTACACTGTATATGACATAAGGCATTTGTGAAGAAATGATTCCTCTGAGTAGTCAGAAGATCTTCCCAGAGATGGGCTGTCTTTCCTGTTTTGCTCTTTGATTCTTCCTTCTCCTGGATCTTGGAGGGACTACTACTTGTGTTGAGTAACGAAATACCCCCCTCCCTCCCCCCAGAACACAGTATCTTTGATCTCTCCTGTTTTGTGCACTAGGGAGCTGATACTTCCTTCCCTGGCTAGGACTGAATGAATAATCATCTCCTGTAGTTATTCACATCAGGTTCAGATGCTGAAATGTGGAGCTGATGACAAGGGAAATTATGGATGGAAGCATCAAGAATTGCTACTGAAATTTTAGGTGTTGTAGGGAGGAAATATTCAAAACTCATCACATTTAACCATGAAGACTCCAAAGATTTATAATCTCGTGGGACAAATCCGTGAATTTTCTGTTAGGTGAGAATGAAGCCCAGACTCCTGTCCTCGTGAGTTTTTTTTTTTATGCCCACATAGACACACAATCAGCATGAGAAAATCCTACTCAACACTAAATCTTTGGTGTGATTTGGAATGATTAACCCTCAAAAAGTTTGGTATTCAAATAATGTAAAAAACCTGTATGTTCATAGAGATGTTATTCAAAACCCCTGTAAAATCAGGAAATCTTGATTAAAAGCTTTTTCTTTTTTTTGTTATTTCAACATATGCAGCGTATGGTTTCTTTCAGGTCTTTGAGTCTGGACCATCATCTGATAATGTGCACATGAAGGATTGTCTTAGAAGGAAAAGTGAAAGAGAACTTTTAGGATTTCACAGAAACTTTTGTTCAGGTTTTCAAAAGTCATACCTAGATCCATCGTCCCTTACATAGCCCAGACAATGCAATGCACTAATACTGCTGCATGGCAAACCTGCCCCAGGTATCATGTTAGAGCAGCCTCTTGGCCTATCTTGCCATACCCAAGGAGCCCAGCTGCACAAAAGCATTTTCAACCCAACTTTGTGAGAACAACTTGAGAAAATCCTCCTTATTATGAACGGATTCTCCTGCTCTTGTTCTTGCTCTTTCTTATCTTGAAAACAAACCCCAAACCAAACTCCCTGATCTAAACTTGAAAGAAATCTGATTCCCTGACCCTGCCATCTAGATCACCACAAATCCTATCAAAAGTGACACTTTTGTGCAGAGTAAGGCAGGTCCATGCAGCGTGGAACAGTTAACACCAGCCTAGCTGGAGATGCCTCCTGCTCCTCTGCTGTGGTGAACAGAAATGGAAACAATGCAAGATACTCTCATTCCTAGTAAGTCTGTGCTGAAGGAGGGCTTTAAGTTGGCATTCTGTCTCCTGTAACCCCAGGAGATATGATTAATTGAAAAGAGCTAATTATCTGTCATTGTTATAACATATTTCACAGACAAAAAAATTAATTCTACATACTTTTTTCTTTCAGCTGTATATAAACACTACTTAATTCTCAGTAAGCAGCTAACATCTTCCTAAAATGAAGGGAATCTCTGCCTGTATGGTGGGAGATACCGGTTTATAATTTCATTTATTTCTTGAGACAATTCTACAAGAACACTTTGGCACATACTGAAGTTTTGTTCTTTGTCCTTCAAGAACTGATGAAGATAACGTGTCATCTCTGATGGCTGTTCATTGAATAAAAATAGCAAAGGGAGAAAATGTTTTCCCATAAAAAATAAGTTTACATGCTACGCTGAAGTCATTATTCAAATTCACAGTTGAAAGTGATTATCACACAGCCTCAGACACAAATTCATGCAAACATTTCAGTTCAAGTGATTCAGAGGAACCAATGAATAAATAGTCCCATCACTGTTTTTTGATGCAGGAGAGGAAGGGCCATTTCTCGTGTGGAAATTATGAGCAGATGAGGAGGTCTCTGTTCTGTACATCTGGGCTTGCATTTCACAGCAACCAAACTTGCTCAACAGAACGAAGAAATCCCTGCGGAAAGTCTTTGTGAAAATGGCATAGAGGAATGGGTTAGCACAGGAATTGATGGGGTAAAACAAAACCAGAAGGATCTTCGATTTGGACACTGTAATGAGAGGAACCTTGAGTGAGGCTGATATTGCAAAAAAAGATATTGGTGCCATGCAGAGGAAGTCCGTGAAGATCAGTATGGCCATGCGCTTGGCAATCTTGGTGTCACTGTTAGAAGAGATGACATTAGGGTTTCTCACAGTAAAGTAGATGCAGATGTAGCAGGCACATATGATCACAAATGCGAGTACGTTCAACACTAAAATAAATATAACGTAAGCCTGGGAAAATGATGTTTCTATATCCATGGGCAAACAGATGCTGACCTTCATGTAGCTGCTGACTCCAAATATGGGAAGAATTGCCACCGTGAAAGCAAACATCCAGCCAAAAATCATTATAATCACAGCATGATGAAATCGAACCTTGCGGTCCAGTTGCATGGCGTAGGTGATGGTGTGCCACCTTTCCAGAGTTATGACAGTCAGCGTGTAGACTGAGAGTTCACTTGCAAACACTGTAAAAAATCCTGCAGCATTGCATCCTGCCCCAGTTTGCCAGTCTATGGCATAGTTGTAATACTGGCTTTTGGTCTGAATATCCACAGATGCAATAAACAGCAGATAGATACCTATGCAGAGGTCTGCGAATGCAAGATTGCACATTAGAAAACGAGGTACGGTGAGTTTGTATTGACTGCTTATTAAAATAATGAGGACAACAATGTTCCCAGTGATAGCTAAAATGTTGATAAACCATATCAGGACTCTCAGAATGTTGTATCCCATGATATCTTCACATGGATTGAAAGCATCAGGTTTAGGTGAGCAAGCTACGTTAACTACTTCATTGCATAAACCATAGTCAAATTCATTCTCTGCTGGCTCAAGTCCTATGCCGTAGAGGGAAATAAAATCTTCAGCTGCAGATCGCGTATGTATCTTATTGCCAGGCTGTTCATTGAGGTCTTGCTTGGCCTGAGATATGCTACATATTGGATGTAATTCAGTGCTGAAATTGTAAAAAGAGTAGAGTTGGAAACAGATGTAGCACGAGGCATACAACAAACACAAAATCATCCAGTTTCCATTAACTGCTCAGTTTTTCTGGTTAGCTGATTATATAGACTACCCTGAGGCTTGAAATTAATAGTCTGGCTGGTCCCTATTTATAAAATATTCCATGAAAATGTAAATTATTTTAAAACATCATAAAATGTAAGGGAAAAGAAAGCCTGATGTTTGCTTTACTAGCAATCACGACACGGTTATCCACCCGCACAGGTGCATTCTGTAAGAAGCCGTCTTTATTTCAACTGAAGTTCTCACATAATCTGTTGTTGAGAAGATGATTCTTGCACAGGGGAAACACGTGATGATGAATTCCTACATAAGATTGAACTTTGAAGAATGAGTCATTTCAGCTGTGCCCATAAGGAGCCTGTATAATCACAATAATGCTACTATCCCTTAGTATTACCCTCAAATTCCCCTTTTCCTAAATTTTTTGGCAGTCAGTGTGCCATATTCAATCATGTAACTCCTTCAGGGCACAGAACAACTGCCATTCATTTTGAGTATCTCGTATCATACTGGTAACTGGCCATTAACACAAATAAATAGCATAAATAAATTCATGCAGTCTTCCAGGTAATCTCTAGAAGCCAGATACCAACATAGATACAAACACAAGACACCTGTTTTTCAAAGAAAATGGATTTGAAACCAAGTGAAGCCAAGCCAAGCCAAGCCAAACCAAATGAAACCACACCAAACCAACAAAATATGTCTGTAGAAACAGTAGTTTCTTTTGTTTCTGTCAGAAAGTCTTTTTTTTTTAAATATTTTGCATATTTTAGAAAAGGTAGATAAAGGAAATAGAAGAAAAGAGTTTCCAGAAAAAATGCCTTTGAAGGTAAACCAAGTATTTTTTGACAGTGTTGTCTTTGGCTTTATTTCCTAGAGCATGAACTCTATGACTTTCTTCTCCATGTCTAGACCAAAAGAAAAACCAAATGTTTTGGCTGAGATGACAGAAAGATGATCAGCTCCATCAAGTTAAGAAATATCAAGGTGTGTTAACAAGAAATTAAGGGTCAGACGTTATCAACTACTTCTCCTAGGCTGCCTTTGAAGTTTGGTGTCCCAGAAACTTGCTTCCATAGCTTTGCATAAAATGGATCCAGACCTAATCTGAGTTAGGGAATAAACCGGCTGACAATGTGTTGCAAAACCAACACAGTTCAGCTCTGCCTACTTTCATCTACAGCATAGACAGCAATTTAGATGTATAATTTCTAGGACAGGACCCCAGCTTATCTTCCACCCTGACTTGCAGTACAGTACAGAGAGAAGAGCTTTCCAGGCGAGTTATGCTGAAATTGTTAAACAATTGGTAGCAGCTTAAAAGGGACAATACTTTTTTTGTAAACTAATTTTACCCTTTGACTTTGTGCACTCACTACATCCTCCAAAAATCGAGTTTAAAAGGTCTGCAAGAAAGGAAAACTAATGAAGGCCCAGCACCAGAAGGTGAGGGACGTCTCCTATGAGGTTCTGAGCATCCTGTGCTATTATCAATATTTTTTATCTTGCCTGTCAACTGAGGCAGAAAACTGATTTTCTGTAAGGTCAAATATGCACTATGGAGGTCACAATAGCAATAACAAGGCATTACATTTTGCTCCCCTGTGTTCTGCTCGCATAAGGATGAGTGAGGGGTCCAGTGTATTGATCAATATATCAACAGTTCTCTAGCTGAAAGGGAATATGTGCTTCCAAGGAGCAATAACAGGAGAGAAAGTACCTCAGTTTTGAGTGCAACAGGCACTTGAGGGCACTGAAAGCTACTGCAATTGGTGATTCTTCTTAAGTGAACAGAGGGAAGTGTTTTTATCCAGCCATTTCTCAGCTATGAGTTAAAAATAAACCTTTTCCAAAATTATGGAGGCATTGCCTGGAGCTAAATCTGTCCCCTGATAACACTGCTACGTAAGGCCAATTAAATATTTCTGATTATTACAATTTATTCATTCTTGAATTATTTTACAGCCAGTGATCCCAAATAAAATCAGGTTCCCACAGAGTTAGCTGCTTGGTTTGCCCCAAGGATGGGTGGCAAAGAGTCTCCTGCCTGGTTACCTGTACCATGAGCAGATAAAGTGGGCGGATGCAAACTCCTGAGGGAAAGAAGAGCTATTCCCTGGTACTGACTGCTTACCGGTTCTTTCCCCTGGGATATTTGCCCTTTGCACCATACAGTGCATTCAGAGTAACAAGCTAAAACATTTTTTGACAAGGGATGCTTGCTTCCTTTTGAGATGGTAGGTATCATAACCACAGTTCATTTACTCAGTCTATTTGTAACCCTCTGTTACTGTTTAATATTGCTTTGCTCAAGTAAACCCTCTGAAAAACAAACTAGAGGAAGGACAACTTAAAGAAGAACATTAAAATTGGCAGAGTGCTCTGGCAAAAATACACAGAAATTACTACCTTTGTACAAGTGATTATTTTATGCACTCCGTCTGGATCTGGTGACTGCAGGACCTTGTGTGCTGAGAAACATGCTCAGCAGAATAAATAGTCCCGACCTAGGTTCTGTATTGAGCCCCGTCTCAAACCAATCATCCTCACTGAAAAATGACATCAAGTGAGTTGTGAGCAACTGATGTTATGTTCTCATGAGACGAGGTCCAAATACGACTCCTGATGCTGGCATGTTTTTTTAAAAAAGTAGGATTTCAAGTGACGGCTCCTCCAAAGAATAATGATCAAGTGTAAGGACAGAGTTGTATCAATGTCATTCTTTTAGGCAGAAGGTGATCTTTATGTCAAAGAAAGCCAAAAGCTTGCTGAAGTTCATAATGGTCTATGACAAGTTGAGGGTTTTAACATCCAGCCTCTGCCCTATCTGCACTTCAAGGATGTTATTTTCCAGTTGCAGAAAAACGTGAGGGGAGTTCAACATACTGCTCTGGGCTTGTCTTAAGAAAGCAGTTTACCTTCTGTTAGGCCAGCATCACAATATTCTGGTGTGATAAATCTACAGATCAATAGTTATCATATAGTCCTTCTTGGAATGGGGGAAAAAAAACCAAAATCCAAATTGCCTACGTTTTATTTTGTGTCTCAGTCTGGCGGAGCTGTGCTTTCAAAATTTAGAAAGCACTGCCGCTGTAACAGGTAGAAGCTTTCTGTTGTCACAACACAGCCTGTTCTCCAGTGCAGATGGATTTGGGAGACCCATGATGGCAACTTATTTTATCTAAGGTTCTCAAGTGCTGAAAAAGTCTCCAAGAGGGGAAATCTTACATAAACGGGGCAGCCAGAAAGGGGCCACACATCCTTGTCTTAATTCTTTCTTGAATTTCCCACGTGGACAACCAACTGCTGCCATGATCCTTAGAAACGCGCTTCTGGGGGTGATGAGGCATCCTTTTTATCCTTCCTGGACTGCCTGGAAGGATTCTGGAACCCAAACAGCCACGGGAGAGTGACCATCTCCGTGAAGGTGCACGGCAAGTCAGGTTACATCACGGTTCTCACCACCACAAGTAATGCCTGCACTGAGCCACGCACAGCTCTCGCCAGAGAGATAATACCCGCTGCGTGATCAAGCACTGCAAACTATTAATAACTCTTAAAAAACCTGAGCAGTCTTCAATGCACATGCAGCTCGTGCCAGCTGTCAAGAAACTGCGTTGAAATGAAAGCGGGTGTAGCTACTGTACGTGTGACTAATCTCTGCTGAAGAGTATGGTAATACCTTTGGTATTCAAACCGAACTAAAATGCATCTCTCTCTTTAAGCTGGGGAGAGTATATCAGTCTCCCATCAATTTCAGTACAAGACACATGACTGAAAAAATTACCGTTTCGAATTATGCTTTAAAGCAGTTAACAGGAAGAGTTTATCTAAATAATTTGTTCTAATACTTTTACATTTATGCTTAATATTTTTAATAGATATGTCTGGTAACTATTAAAGACATATATAAACACATTCAACTTTGTTCTGTTGCCCAGGGTGATACAGTTCACATGCACATTTATTGAAGTAATCATACATCATATATCATAAAGAAGAGTATCTCCAACTTGCATGTTATTTCTTACTGTTGCATCACACCTGATACTATAGGGGACTGTGAAGTCATGCTCAGACTTGCTCCAGAAGCAGCCCCACCGCCACGTGCTTGCTGGCCATCCCTACTTGGGTTATGTGAGCTCTGCACAGTTCATTTGTATTTCTTTGCAAAATTGCACTTGCCCAGGCTGTGGGAAGGGCTGTCAGTGTCCTCCTTGGCTGTTTACCTGCGAGGGCAGAGGCTTCTGAAAGTGGGGCTGTACTAAGGGGGAAGTGAGTGCGGTGGGCTTCAGTTCCCTGGGGCAAGTGTGACATGGAAATTATTTAAAGCCCAAGTGAGGGGACTAGAAACTGAGAGCTTATCGAAAGGTCAGGACCATTTCCTCCTGTAGCTTTCCTTCAATAGCAACTCTTACTCTGTTTTTGAAAAGTCTGGTTGCCTAATTTAAGGGGTGGATTCTGGGATTTGGGTCCTGATTTGGCCCAAGCAGCCCAGAAGGCAAGTACCTTCAAAAATATGAATCATAGTGATATCAAGGTCCCTTTGCAGATTCAGGACTAAACATGATTCCATCAGACTCTTTGGCAAATACCACTTTGCCACCAGTGCTGGAAGGGCTGGACCCATTTCTACTTAGCAAGCACTGTGCCTGCATAAGCCTGCATAAGTATGTGAAAATGTCTCCTGCTGATAAACTGTCCTATCAAAAAATTTAGCATTTTGGATCAAAAATGGGCAATGGGGATGCATTCTGTTAGATACTTCCTTTATCACTGCAGTCTCCACCATCAGACTTGCACTCTTTACACAGATAGACTTGCAAACGCATGTAGGTGGTATTTGTTAGTTATCAGCACAAGCAACATCACTTATCTTTCACTGCCTGGTGACAATACAATGCTAAAAGTAAAATAAATGGCTAATCTAAGTATTAAAATAGAAATTACTAATAGTTTATGCTTTCTCTGTATGGTTTTACTTTTCTTTGAAGTTTTAGGCAACTTCTGAAGACAATATCTTGAATTATAAGAACGACTCACATTTTTTTTTCTGCCATGGCAAATTCCAAGTCTTTGAGTACATCCAGTCAAGGAATAACTTCAAACAATAACAGGGGTTTCCGTAGGTACCAGTTCCTCATGTTTTCCAGTGGCACAAATTCAAGAGGTTCATTAACTAGTTAATGTGTACATTTAGAGTCTATCTGAGCAGCTGAAAATACTCAGTAAGGATCATTGATACCTGAAGTCTCACTGCAACTTGCTAATGGAAAGTTAAAACAAATATGGAAAATTACTTTGGGAGCCTAAAAAGACACCCCACCCTCCTAAGCCCCTCTGTTGATTTGGGTAAAAGGGGTGTGCTCTAGGTTAACCATTTCAGGAATCATGTCCAAAAACGTTGTGTAACAAACCTAGACAGATAACGTACCTGTGGTGCTTGGTTGGACAGTGTTCCAACATCAGCGTGGCTTTCTGAGAGAAGAGTTTGAGATCACTCAGTGGTCCTGTTACTCTCCTGAAGTACATATCCTGAAGTATTGACCAGCTTCTCCGCAAACACAGCTTTCCCTCTAGCTACCTCCTGAAAAGTTATCAAACTTCTCCTGTTGGATGTCTTCAGTGGGGCTCCAGGCTGATCCAGCATGGATCATCAGTCCCAAAGAAAGATGGAGCTATGACAGGTGAGGGCTAGGGCTGCAGCTGGGGAAAATGCTGGTGCTAACACAGCTATCAAAATTTATTTCTCCCCTGTAATGGCGAGGCAGTGCACCGTGTAGCATGCATAAACTTGTATGTATTGTATATTTATTTATTTCTATCCATTTACCTACCTGCACTGAAGACACCTTTTCTATTCAGATTTTGAGGAAGTTTATTTAATTTACTATCAACTGCTGAGAAGCACCAAAAAGAAAAACAAATGGAATCACTTACTTTTGTCTTTTCCAGTTTGCAAATGCACAGCAATGGCTAGGATATGTGAAGTTTGCCTCAATCAAAGATCTAAATTTGCTTAAATCAGGAAGCTTTTTTAAATTGTATGTAGACCTTGCTCTTAGCTTCTTAATGAGTTCTAATCCATGACTTGGCAGGAAACTGATTCTCGTCCTTGAAATATCCCTTTAAGAAAACATATGAAAATCTCAGTAAAAAGCAAATTTACTTCTGCTCAACGGTGTATATGTGTTTTAGACTGTCCTACTGATTTTCAGAGTAGTGATTGGAAAGAGATTAGCTGGAAATCTACATTGAAAAGAGGATCCAGGGATAAATTAGGTGTTCCTTCAGGAAACTTGAACTAACATCCATTGCAAACAACAATCAAGTTATGTTATTCTGGCCTAAGAAAAAAGAAAAAAAAAATCCCATAACCCTCTGAGTAAGAATTAGCAGGGACATAAACCATTAGTGCCATACAATTCTAGGTTCAGTAAGTGCAACAATCATTCCAGAATACTCTTACAGGATAAAAAAGGCTGATGAAATCACAACAGAAGTTTGCTACATGAACATCACATCATGGGAAGGCTCCTGTGGAAAAGGCAATAAACACAGAGAAGCTCACAGGGGGGTATCTATGTGAGGAGATGCTGGGGATATCAGGTTTTGTACTCATTAGGAAGAAAAAGAGATTAAAGAGAGACAGGGGTGACACGGTTCAAACTGTGAGGAACAAAAATAACAAAACATTTCAGGAGGTTTAAAATACAAAGAGAGCACAGGCTGAAGTGAAGAAAGGGGCAAGATTACAGGAGGTTAGGAGAGATATGTATTTATGTGGAAAGCAATTACTGTGTGGGACAGGCTATCAAAGGCAGCAGCTACGAATGTATTAAAGAGACCATTAGTGGGTCTTTTAAAAGGAAACACATTGTGCAAACACTAAATCTTGACTTGTACCATGCAGGTGGGGAAGAGGAAGAAGGACCAAGGGTGGTCCATCTCAAGGCTAAGAGATACTTGGGAACCCATACCCACGGCCCCAGGGGGTAACAGTTGGGGCAAAACATCCCTAATTTTCTTTCACTAGGGCACAATCCCTGTCCCTCAGCTCATGGGAGCAGGAGAGCACATTTCTGTCTCTTAAGAGCAACAGTAAAAATGAACTGCACAAAATCACCCTGTCCTCCCTTAGCCCCTGTGCTCTTATGGCCTGAGACTGATCCAGGATGCAGTGTTTGCTGAGGCTGCTCTGCTCTTTATTCTCCGACAAAAGAAAGGAATTTTCCCTAATCCAGAAATCAGACTGACAATATTTGTCATTTTTCTTCATACCCCTTCCAAGGTACAGTTTCCAATTCATGCATAACAGTATGATGCCAGGACAACATGTTATTTGATCTCAATTATCCAACATTCACAAATTGCTTTTATTATCATATTAATGCAGTAGAGTGACGCCATGTGAGGGAGCGACCATGTTTTAGCAGCATGTAACAAAGTTTAGACAGTTGCTATGCACCCTACGCACATTTGCACCTCTGTTCTCCATTCTAAGAAACAAAATTAATACCAGGAAATGGTTCTGTTTGAACTCACAGTCTTTAGCTTAGGGTGGCCAAGTCTAACAAATTCATAGGCAGCTAATAAAGCAGTTGCTAAAATTGGTGGTGGGTAAAGATGGTATTTGTGTCCATGCTGTGCCCACAGCTCAGGCTTTGCATCCAGGCTCTGAAGGAATGTACCACCTTCAACGGCTGGACCATGAACTGGGGCAGCAGAGGAGCAAACACAGACCCCACCCCGCTCCACTGGCCTGGGGCCGTGACTTCTACTTGGAAGGGCAAGACAGACCGGTGGAGTCAGAAATGCTTCAAACTTCTGCAGGTCAGGCTGAGAGAACCATCTCCTGAGGTTGTTCTGGGACTGACCTGTTTCTCGCAGGAGCTAAAAGCAGCAGCTGATGAGAAATTTTAGGCTATCGATTTCTGACTTAGACACTTGAAGGGGTAATTAGGTTGCAACGAGCAACCTCGATTCTTTCATGGACTGACTATTGCCCTTAGTATGCTGCCTAATGAAAACTGTCACCTAGAGTATATGCTCATGACTCAACAACTGAACAGCAGCTTTCTGCCTAAATCCACAGAGAGCATCACTCATGGTATCATTAAGAGCCTATGAAACTTCACAAGGGCTTATAATTCTGAACAAGAGCATGGAAAATGTCTTCTTTAAAAATCTTTAGCAAGTCCAAACTGTTATTACACTGAGTGGAAACAACAAATAAATATGAATAGGAATATCAGTAAATATGAACAGGACTTAAAAATAGCTAAAATGTTACTGGATCTCTGGGTGTCTCTAAATAATTTCATAAATATTAACTATTTTTCCATGAAAATATTTTCTTCTTCTTTTAAAAATTTTTTATTTTTATGCTCATTATTGCACATAAAGAGAAGCCAGTTAGGTAAGGTGCTTTGCATACTCCTGTGGGGTTTGTTGGTATGTCTGTTAGGGATAGTTATCAACACACCACTGACAAGCCCTTGAACAGCAAACGCAGACATTGTGCAGGTGGTTTAGTAACTTACGCCACTGAGTCACTGCGTAGACCTCAGTGCTGAGGCTCTTTGGGATGTTGCCCTCTAGTTAAGAGGCTTGATAAACTAAATAAGCACAATGAACAAGACGATAGAGTCGGAGTAGGAAATCAAACCAGAAAGCATCGGTGACTGGAAAACATGTTGTTGTATTATTATTGCTTGGCTGCCAGTCATCAGCCTTGGTAGCAGCCAGTGCAGGAACAGCAAAATGAATCTGACTTCTCTTCCAACCACTTCCTTTTCCTGCTGGGAGTCTCTGTTGGATTAAGCAAAAATACTGGCCAGCTGATGAGGTTTGAAAGGAACATACAGAAATAGCAAGAAATGGCTGGTGGAGCAGAAATCAGAGAGGGGTAGACTGATTGGTGAGAAAAATTTTTTCATGCTTGTATCTAAACTGATCTCTGACTGTGCTTCAGGGACTCAGCTGTTGAGCTGGGGATCTACTGGAGCTCTTCTGTGGCCCCCATATATGGGTTCTCCGTTGAAGACAAATTGCAAGGTTCACAGCCATACTTTGCCCTGCATCCGAGTCAGGATGCAGCCAGACAACTCCTAAGGACTTCAGTAAAAGCTGGTGTAAGCCACTACAGCTCTGGAAGCACCAGAAGATGGTTAAATGAAACAATATGGCTGAAAATTAAAGCTATGAAACTCCAAGTTGGAAACACAGTGTATTTCTGGATAGAAGGAATGTGTATAGGTGTGGGAGTAATTAGCCATTTGATTTACTTGCCTACTGTCAGTGTTGAGATCCTTTAACTCAAAATCTAACGTCTTTGCAAAAGAGATATTCTAATTCAGCCAAGAGCTGTAAGCCTGGGAGAGCAATTGATTTGTGAAATTGTGTAGCCTGTACAAGGGCTAAGATTGGTGCTTTCTGACATTACTGTTTGTGTTTGTGTTTCTTTCACATTATTTTAATATGCTGAACTAAAGAAGTTGGTATTAATTGACCATAGAACACTGGTTCAGGAAGATCAAGAGTTAAAACATCCCCATGTTCATTCTAAAAAAACACTGCAGTCTGAAACACAGATTTGATTGCAACAACACTATTTGTCCCAGCAAAGATATGATTATGGGTCAATCACTTCCACAAGTGTAAACACATTCCTGGTGTACACTACAGTGACGGATAAGTAAGAAGGCTGTTTTTTCATGATCTCAGTCCGGGTAAAAAAGGTAATTTCCCATCCACAGAATAGTGGATGTATTGGTAATGGAACAGAAAACTTCTTACACAAATAACTTGGTGTTAGAAATTGAACTATCAAATGAATCTGAACTGCAGCCAAATTAATTTGATAAAGCTCCAGATTATGATTTTATCAGCTACAGCTTGCAAAGTAAAATGCATTTACTTTTTGCTACAGGAAATAATGCTTTTCCAAAGAAACATCTATGGTATTACTGCTGAAAAGATGCTCCGCTGGCAGTCTTTTCCAAAGAAGGAAGACACTTTGAGGGAGTGATGGAAGTGGAGCATAAATACAGTAACCTATACTATAGCTCTTTATATCATAGGTGGACTGACCATCACAACGTGGAAAAAAGGCCTTCAGAGGAGTTCTGACCTGAACTCAAGGTTAACCACACATTTTTCTCCCTCTTTTTTAGATTTCTAACCACTCTAACCTCTGTGCAAAATCCTCCAACAGCTCCGATGACCCCTTTTCATCCTTTCTGGGTGACAGCCCTCTCTGGACATCCAGGGTAGAGGGGAAGCGAGAAAGGCTCTGGTGAATTGGAGAGACAAAAAAAGACTCCCACGTCTCTGTTGCAGGTCTTACGTGTTCTCGCTTGTGCTCAGAAACACAAGCAGTTGTGCACACTCACATCCATTTTCAGACCCTGTGGCAAACTGTGGCCTGAGGTAATGTTGACTGAGACCTATGAGCATACTACTGCTGAATTCTCTACTGCTGAGATCTCACTTTCCATCTTATCACCCACCAAAGACACATCTATCTCTACAGTGGATGGGAGACCTGTAGGGTAGGGATTTTATCTTCAAAATTAAGCTTCAGAGATGCAGGGGCAGATCTTTAGTGGCTAGCAATTCAGATTTAAGCACCTATTCTTGATTTTGCTCAAACAAAAAACTAACAGCGTTTTTCTCTGGAAAAAAAAACAAACCAAAGCAGAACTACTCTCTTACAGAGCTCAATCAACTGTGGAGAGGAATCTGGTTCTAAATCCCTGGCTCCAAATACTCCAAAAACTTGAAGATAAAGTGAAAACATAGACCTAGACTGAAATTTCGGTTATGGCTTCCATTTTTGTTAATATTCAGAAATACACCTCCAGTTTTGAATGCCAAGATTTATGAGATGTTAAAATACATACTGGCATTCATATGTTCTTCTCTGTTCTTTTCTAGGGAGTTAATAATGAGAAATATAATACCTAAATACTACTTACAAAACAATGGGCCCATTGGCTCCTTGGAAGACCTCATTCGGTAATTTTTCTAGGTTGTGATTATCGCTTAGATTTCTGAAAAACACAACAATATTGATGCTAAAACAATCTGAGATTAAAAAAAAACAAACTTGCAGCAGTTACTACCTTCTAATAATTGCTTTTCACAATAGTAAACAATAGAAATAGTTACAGCTCATCCACGTAGGTTCCATTAAATGCATGATTCTCAATTTCCTGAATCCCATTTTTATTCAGCCATCTGCAATAAAGAAAAAAAAAAAAAAAGAGTTGTGTTGTTATTCATACTTCATAACTAAAATGTATGTAATTCAAATCAGTGAAAGGGATTGCAAACAAGTAAAATTATTAAACGGATATTCAAATGGTGAAACTTCTGTGAATACTAGCTGATAAGATCCCAATATTTGGAGCAAGCCTTTGGAGAGTACAGACACGACTAGTGCAGATGAGCGCTACCATCAGAGATGACTGCTAGGGTAAGTTTCTGCAGGAAGGGCAGAGCTGATGAAGACACTGGCGCTGCTCACGGCTGCCCTGGGAAGGCTGCAGCGGAGTCCGTGAGGCTCTTCCAGGTTAATCCCAGGAGGGGTGAGACCAGGATCTTTCCTGCCGCGGCTGTGGGTGCCACTTAGTTTTACCTTTTTTTGAGATGCTGTTGAAACACTGGGCCATGGCTTAACTTTTACCAGTTATTAGAAATAAAGACCGCTGTCTGCGGTGGTCTCACGTCCTCGGCATGAGGCAGGTGGAGGAGGGAAGCTGCCCGTCGCCGAGCTGGGCAGGAGGGCAGGGTGGGGGTGGCAGTGGTGCCCAGCTGCCTGGGAAGTGGCTGATTCCTCCTGCGTCTGCTGCCTTGACAAAAGATGGTCCCTGTCTGCTCTGCTGCCCCAGTCCCACCTCGCCGGGCTCCTTCTCCCAAGAGGAGACACAGGCAGTGATCCTGGGAATCAAAGGTCCTGGGGCTTTCCGCCAAGTTTTTACTGTAGTGCATTAACTAACTAATGTTTAACGTCCTTTCCTCTCTTCCCTTCACCGTCCTAAAAATTTACACTTGGGCCAGTTATATTTATCATCTTTACGGTGCAGTCCTTCATCTCGCTTTAAACGTCACTTTGCAACTCATGCCCTCTCCAGCAGGAAATGACAAGTCTGACTGATGGCAAAAATGGCCTGATTTAATTAAACTGTCAGCAAACCTGGACGTTTTGTTTCTAATTCATACTGAAAGCTGAGCATGCGAGTGACTCACCTAAGGTCTGGGGTGGTGAGCTAAGGTCAGCATGAGAATCAGTTATGGGTCTGGCTGAAAGGGTTACCCTTCTGAACATAACAGGCAGATGTACATAGCTCCATGTCTATAATGTCTGTCAGGTCGGATCAGGAGAACTGTCACTGTCCCCTTCACTCGCAAGTGCTATTAGACATGTATGAGCAGGCACAGAGGACAGACATGTCCCTGGTTAAAGTATTTAAAACATTTATTATATTACATTGATCTTACCCATTTGTAGCTGCCAGGCTGATATATATGCTCTTAATCACAGCATTAGCACTTAACTGCATTGTCTCTGAGAATGACAGGGAGAATGCAGTTCGTACTGAAACTGATGCTAACGCAATGAGATACTAAGATAGTAAAATCAGAGTCACTGTTGCCATACAGTGTGGACTATACACTCCTGTCACCTGGCTAATTGCATTTAAGTAGAAAAAAAAAGAAGAAAAAAAAAATTTACCTAGATCCCAAGACCTCATTATAGCACATATAGACAAACTTCTGTTGAGACAAATTCTCCCCTGACTTCAGCCAGCACCCTAACTGACTCCACCAACTCTGATGTTATCAACAAGTGACAACAGAGGCAGAGATCCAGAGCCTGGGCTTTTACTCACCACTTCATGGCTACAGCAGTATTTTTAAAACACACTTTAAAATGCACCCGGTGCAGGAGGCCACTGCCCCTGCGGTACTATTTACACCCTATTTCAGGGCAGGAAAGTTCTATCTCAGGCTCTAAGTGGCACGCAGACCTGGAAGCAAGGCGAATTTCTTTCATAAATTTCTAGCATTTTTTAACCAAATGTATCCACGGTTCTAGTCTGTGCCGATCCCATGCACAGCATGATGCAATCCAAATTACTGGGTTAAATATGCTTGGAGCCTGCCACAGCTAAACCTGCTAAAATTGTGTCTCCCCAGAATGTGGGGGTGGTCCTGGGTGTTTTTAATGCCATCTTGACACATCTGTTTTCACAAAATGGTGTTGCTGTAACGGTAACTTTTTGTTACATCGCATAGTGACTTCAGTTTTGCGTAGAAAACCAGCAAATCTAGGTCTAAAATGAGTCAAGTTCATCACAGCACAAGGAAAACCTAACCAGGGACTCTGAAAGAGCACGCACAACGTCTCTGTCCCAAGGGACAGCTACAGCCGAGTCAGGACATCGTCTGAGCAGGTGGGTGGTAGCCAGGTCTGCTTGCACAGCTCTTGATGCTCCTGCACACACTGGTGGGCGCGGGGAGCCCGTGGCAATGGGGCTGATTCAGGAGGCAGGGCAAAGCAGATGGAAGAGAACATAATATCACCCCCCCCCCCCCCCCCCACCACTAGCAAACCAGCAGCCCTAAGCCCTCAGAGAGGACTATCCTTCCAATACCCAAGCTGTAATCAGATAAGCAATGGGACATCCTGAGGAGAGAAGGGAAGCCAATTTCATGCTGCTCAAGTGGCACAGAGAGGTTAAATCACAGTAAAAATCTGGGATATTTATCTCACCCCTTAGCGGTATTATGGGAACAAATAGAGTACTTGTTGCGCAGTGCTCTGAAACTACAAAGTGCCACCTAAGTAGCAAATATTATTATCACAGGAGAAAAGATAAACCAGTGCATTTGGGGTATCATGACTTGAATATATATTTGAGAAAACTGTGTGTGTGTTTAAAACTTCAGGGAACTTAACGTAGACAGAGGTTGTGTATCACTGATGGAGCAAAAGGAGAGATAGCAGCTAAGTGACTTGTTACTGGCCTCTCTTCAAATATTGATGGTCTGACGTTTCTCCCACCAAAATCGACGTGAGCCCCATCAGTCAATCAGATCTTGCTTCTCTGCTTTGGTATGCAAGGTAAACTGCACACACACAGTGGGAAACTTTTCCAGTCTGGCCACTGGCTAGGTGAAATGAAGGCACCTTGTTAGCAAGCAAACAGTACGTTCTGATAAGCCAGATAGTTCATTAAAACACATGACCGTTCAAGTCAAATGTAGAATCATCTAACCACATGGCTTAAAACTGCATTGTGAACCAGCCTGTATCGAGGCATTAACATTGTGTACAAATATAGCGTATTCCCACAACATCTGCATATATTTTTGCTTGAGTAATAAATGTCTTTGAATGATGTGTCTGACTGTAAATATTTATGAGTCATGCCATCCTTCTGAACACAATTTGTATCACATGGAACTGGTGTTGTAGGTAGAATATGTTTAACCTTGGCATCAGTAATTACTAAATTTGTTCTATGCTGTGCTTCTAAAATAAAGAGCAGGATTAGAATACAACAGAAAACCACAAAGGCATTCATTTTTCATGGCAGGGAAGCAGAATACAGAGATTGCAGGGGTAGAGGAAAAGTCTAAAACCTCAATCTGAATTTGGAAGTGTGTGAAATAGTGCCCATCCCCTGGTTTCCTTGACCCTATTCTGGAGAAGAAATGAGCTAACAAGGAGAATAACAGTTTTGCTGTGTCTTACTCACAGAATCACACTTTCAGAACTCAGGCCCGTGAATGAATTTCTTTCGATTGTACGTATATTGATATTGTCTTGAATATCTCTGAAAAATAAAATACAATATAAACCACAGCTTTTTGTACCTCTGTGAACCTGTCAATATGATACGCTATTTAAAACACAGCATTTTCCCTTATATTCAATCTGAGGAACTGTTATAGGCAGAGGGTAATGACTTACATTTCTGAGACATTTTGTCTGTAGAGCACAAACCTTTCTGGTAAAAAAGGCTGGAATAAAACATTTCCAACACCCCCACACCTTCCTCCCAAATAGGCTGAAGTGATTACAATGCATAAAAGCCCGGGTTTTATAATCCTGAGGCGGATTAAATAGTTCCTCCAGCAAACATACTGCCCAGAAAATGCAAGCTGAGGGGCTGCGAGGCCACCCCCTCTCATAGCCTGCCAGCCAGAAGAAGGAAAAGCCATTAGCCTTTTTGGCCTGATACAGCAGGATACTTACTAGCCCACGAATAATTCCCCTGCCAATGTCAACAGGGTTTCTTATAAGCTTTGTATGCGCTTAAGAATTTAAGACGTGGGACCCCTGTCAATGCAGTTTGTTGAACTGACAAGAAGGCATTTCGGTCTTTCAGCGTTTTCGACTGATAGGGAAAAGGGAAAGGCAGATATACGTTCTGCTGCTTGCTCAAAATAGACCTCAAAGAAGTTAAACAGTATTACTCATAATTTAGACTGGGGATGTGGTTGTTTTCATGCTGTTTCTGTTGGAAAGTATGGAACAAAATGAATTATCTGCAGAGCTTGAAATTAAGCACGATTCCAAAATTATCTCACGCTGACAGTTGAATACAGCTACAACTCTGCGGTAAGTGACGCTTGCACAGAGGCCTCCTTCTGCAAACAGAGGTGGGCAGAGGTAGGAATAGGGAGGGAGAGCAGCACCCATACAAGTGAAGTGTTTCCCTCTGCTTAAGGACACGCGCGAGCCTTTTACAAACATCAATGACCCATCAAGAACTATCTTTGGGACTTAAATACTGGCACAACTAAAGCCAACGGGAGTTTTCTCACCAACGTCAGTGGGGCCAAGGTCTATTTTGGGACTCAAGCAGTATCAAGGTCTACTTAATCTTACAGGAAAGTGAGGATTTTCACCTGAAAAAAACCACCCTCTTGCTCAGGAGGTCACAATAATTCAAGTCTAGTTAAGACTGATGATAAACATAAAGGTACACAAGAGGAAAGCTGTGTAGCTCCATATCTGTGGCATTTGCTTGATGGTTTTGGGGAGCCCTGAAGTGCAGTTCTCAGAATTATGTATGTCAAGTGTATCACAGAAATTTATTCCTTATCTTATATGGGTGTGTACTATTTTCAGGCATCCTCCTCTATGTTTTCTATGCATTTTTATTTATATTAATGGCCATTACTAAGACAATTGCAGGATTAATGCTTCTGCAGCTTGAACTCTTCTAATCAAAGATTTGAACATGCAGAACTTTGCCTGTGCCTTAACAATATATCTTGCCCAAAGGAAGAGAAGAAATATTTGCTTATTTCCTGGGTTTTCTGCTTTCAATTATACTAAGAACTGATTGAAAAATTTATGTCAAGATCTTCTTCAGTGAAAATAAATCAAGCTTTTTCTGATATGCATTTTTTAGAAAAAAAAAAAGGTGCTTTTACAGGAAAAAAACCACCTGCTTTCACACAAAATTTTACACAATTTTTTTTTTTTTTTTTCTGCTGGCACTGGAATTTTCCATAGAAAAAAAATTTAATTCTCTGGACAGTTGTACTGCCACTGAAAAAAATGAGCATGGTAGAGATATTTCCCTGCTTTTTTTTTTTTTTTTCTCTGTGATGTGGCCACATCTTCACCAAAACCAGCTCTGAGATCAGCAAATATTCCCATGCAGGCCAGAGAACTGTCACCAGGGGGCAACAAATTTCCACTGCCACCAGCCTGGTTTGGATTTCAACCGGTGAAAGAAGAGTAAAAGGCTGTTATCCATCCCCTGGGCCATCCAGGGACACACTCATAGCGTACACAATTAAAGGAAG